CGTCGGACTTTCTGGCGTCCGATAGCGGAACTGGAAAGTGGCGGTTTCGGTTCCACAGCTTATACAAGGCTGGACAAACGCAAGCGGTGTCTGGCCCTAATCACGCAATGCCACGGAAAGGGATGTGTTGTTCATCAGCATGAGCCGGGAAGCGTACTGGTGCAGTGCGCTTGATGTAGTAGATCGGGATACTACCAGATCCTGATGTGAAGAGAGTGACATCCCGCCTCACCGCGGTTAGCACTCCAAGCGGCATGCTTTGGGAGTGGCTCGTCATGCCGCAGGGGCTTGTCTAACGGCCCGGCGACGCTTCAATCGCCTGGTGACGCAACTGCTCCGCCCTTTGCGTACCTTCGTACAGGCGTACTTCGACGACATATTCGTCCATAGCCGTGCCGAGGGAGGCAAGACGGCCGTGGAGGGTCATCTAGGACTCCACCGTCGAGTGTTGGACGTAATGCGAGCAAACAAGCTCTACGCCAACATCGACAAGTGCGTTTTCGCGTCACCAGAGATTAAAGTTCTCGGTTGCTTCGTAAGAACGTGGGCGTTCGGGCTGACCCAGACAAGATCTAGGTCATAGCTGCATGGCCAACGCTCCGATCCCAAAAGGATCTTTGAAAGTGGTTGGGCTTGGCCAACTACCTTCACAAGTACAGCCCAGGGTACGCCGTCTTCGCTAAGCCCTTGTCGGGCCTCCTTCAGAAGGACGTCGACTGGCGCTGGGAGCAAGAGCACCATGATGCTTTTGACAGCAGCAAGGCCAGTCTCCAAGAGGCCCCTGTCCTGGCCCTGTCGGACGAGACGAAGCCGTTTAGCGTCGTCTGCGATGCCTCCGATTACGCCATCGGGTGTGCATTGCTGCAGGACGACACGGCTGGACAGGAACGAGTCATCTCATTCCAGTCCAGGCAGCTCAAAGCCGCCGAGCGGAACTACCCTGTCCAAATCGGGCAAATACACGTTTGGTACGGCAGCTGTCGGAACAATCGGAGCCCGCTTTGAAGACACGGAGGCTGGTGGAGCAGCTTCAACAGGGGCAGGCCCTGCTGGAGAAACCACTCCCGAGACTTCAAGTGCCTTGGACGTCGCAACGGACG